TTACCTTTCAGTTATGAAAACCAATTACAACCTTTAAAAGGTTATGGTCCCTATTCCTTCCCAAGGTGAAAAAAAAATAAGAATACTCTTTTGTTTTTCTAAATCCTCTCAAGGAGAAACATAAGGCACTAAAGGGGAAAGGATTAGAAGGCAATAACATAGTCAATATCAAAGGTTTTATTGACAATCAGACGTTTCCGTTTAACCGTTCATCAATGGATTCAGGTATGTCATTTTGTCTTGATTTCTTGATAATAATGATCCAAAGTGTAAGGTTTATGTTCTGAAATTTATGTTTACACACCCCAACTCGCGCGGCCTGCACGCTTCGCGTCTGACCCCTGTCTAGATTGTTTTATATGGAATGTTTTGAAGTTCATGTCTGTGTATCTCATGTGGGTATTTATCGGTCCAAAGACATGATTAAGACTTGGCAGAATTACACACATATTTTGTGGTGATAAACATGTGCCAATTGTCAAGGAAACCTAATGTGAATAATAAATCTATCAAAAGATAGATTTGTTATTTGATATAACTTATTGTCAATGTTTGATCATTACAACAAGATTACCACTTACAGTTAATATCACTACCCAAAGGTTTGGTATTAATGTTGTGCTAGGTATGTTGAGATGTTGTCATTAAATTAATTTATTTAGAGATTATCTGTTTGGTAACTTAATGTGAGCATAATTGTTTATTCCTTTTATTTTCTTTTCTATTCAGCTTTAATGTCGACTACTTCAATCTCTGCCAACATGAACAATGTTCCAATGTTAAATGGAACAAACCTTAAGGACTGGAAAGAGAACATATTGATTGTTCTCGGCTCCATGGACATAGACTTGGCATTAAGGATGCCAAAACTGAATGCTCTCACTGCACAAAGTACTCCTGAGGAAACTGTGTACTTTGAAAAGTGCTGAGGAAACTGTGTACTTTGAAAAGTGGGATCGTTCTAACAGGCTAAGTCTTATGATCATGAAGCGTGGGATTCTAGAAGTTTTTCGGGTGCAATAACAGAGGATGTTACCGTTGCCGGTGAATTTCTTTCAGAAATTCAAAAGCGTTTTGCTAAAAACGATAAGGCTGAAACAAGCACGCTTTTAGCAAGCTTGATTTCAATAAAGTATAAAGGCAAGGGTAATGTTCGCGAGTACATCATGGAAATGTCTCATCTTGCTTCAAAACTTAAGGCACTAAAGCTCGACTTATCTGATGATTTGCTCGTGCATTTAGTTCTCATCTCTCTTCCTGCACAATTTAACCAATTTAAGGTCAGTTATAACTGCCAGAAGGAGAAATGGACTCTCAATGAGCTCATTTCATTTTGTGTGCAAGAGGAAGAGAGATTGAAGCACGAAAGGATTGAAAGTGCTCATCTGGCAAGCACCTCCAAGCATACGGGCAAAATAAAGTATAAGGGGAAGGAAGTTGCTATTCCTCAGGGTCCGGAACCAAAGAAACAGAAAGTAGGAAGTTGCTGCTCCTAAGGGTCCGGAACCAAAGAAACAGAAAGTGTAGGATGGTGCCAAATACGTCGCCTGGCGTGTAAAGAAAGGTACATTTTATGTTTTGGACTGTTCTGAAATAAATTTAGCTTCAGTACCAAGAAACACTTGGTGGGTAGATTCTGGTGCTACTACTCACATATGTGTTTCTATGCAGGGTTGCCTGAACTACCGAAAGCCAACTGATACTGAAAGATACATCTTTGTGGGTGATGGCAAGTCCATAGAAGTGCAGGCAATAGGGCACTTTAGATTATTGTTGAAAACTGGTTATTATTTGGATTTATTAGACACTTTTGTTGTACCGTCCTTTAGACGGAATTTAATTTATGTTTCTGTATTAGACAAATTGGGATATTGTTGTTCTTTTGGAAATATGAAGTTTAGTATGTCTATTAATTCAAATGTTGTTGGTACTGGTTTACTTAATG